GGAGTGTAATATAGAAAAATATAACGTGTCATTACGTGACTGCTACTATATAGTATATATAACGTAAAGCTACACCTGAACGCAATGTGCAAAACATTAGAATGTGTTTTATGAGGTGGATTTATATGCATTGATAATATATATAGTAGGTATGATAACGATAAAATTATACAAGCACTTCAATTGCCCGAATACGTCTTTCTGATTGGTCGCGGGCGTGTTTAAATTATTCAAGCCGTGGTGAAATACACCATATCATTTTAATGTCTGGAAGTAGGCCCTAAACTTGAATAACAGTCGACTGGAATCGTCAACAATTTGTTCGAGTTATGTGCACAGAACGTGATTCTGTCAATTGATTTTAGATACATCAGCGTTGTACAAGAAACTACTTGGTTAAAGGGCGGTGGTCGTCGCGCTGCGCATGTGCGACATTTGTGTTGATAAACATTGATTATCCCACAATCCAATGCGTTCTGCTAATGGAAAACACTAGTATTAGGTTTGACCTGGGCGCGACTTGCATTAATTACCGCCAGTGACTCCTTCGATACATTCCAATAACCTAATCATACCCCATTAAAGCTCATATATTACCCCTAAATCTCGCGCATGCGTGGCGCGACGACTACCGCCCTTTTAATTCTCGCAACACCGAAATACGGTGCGAATTTGCTCCACTGTTCCTTGTATCTATATTCACTGTAGGCAAGTTATAATGACCATTTATCTTTTATCGCGGTTGCAAGCAGAACGTACCGGGCGCTTTATTACGTGTGTACATAATTGTTTGAAGTTATTTGCCTCAGAATTACAATTATAATGACGTTGGTATAATAATGAAGTTGGGTATACCACTCGATTTTGCACAATCAACTCCATATGCACACTCGCTGACGCTCGCGATTATGCGAAATATTGTAGTATACCCGCCTTCGGCGGTGTTGTTCTGCTTTAATATTCAACAAAAACAACAGCAGCAACCTTGCGTATGTAACTTATTTGATTACATGTAATTTCAAGTGTGGTTAGATTATTGTTCAGCATGAGTTACGCAAGTGTTTTACTCATCGCTACACTTTATATTGTGATGTTATACTCAGCACTAATGTTTGAAAAGTACTCACCTTGAATATTGCGAGGTAATGGTGTGTAAAGACGCGGTGTAATCAGGGTGAATAGAAGACGTTCTTCCATAATCAGTGTAGAGCGTAATCGTTTAAATGTGTCCTGCGTATTGCTAGCAAATACTGACACACACATGGTCGAAGTTGTAGAGAATCAGACCTCGGGAAAAGTACGAATTTCCCTACAAAGCCACATCGTCTTATAAAAAAAAATATGACAGAATCTCATGGCCTGACTTTTGCGGGGAATATACATTATCTTTCTGAGTTATGCATGCGCAGGGCAGGTGAAAATATGCACAGGCACGCGCCATCGGTGTTTGCCACACACATGACATGCAACAAAATTGAGTGCAAACAGAGCAAAAGAAGTCCTTTCAATTAAAATTCTAAACCACTGTTTTGTCTGTAAATAATATTTTTTAAATATATTTAAGCAGCGGTATCAAAGAACTGGCATTTCAAAGTTATCGAAGCCACGTAAATGCTATGTGTAATGAAATGGCAGGGATGGACTAGATTTGTTGTGCCACCACGTGGAACACACTACAGTCTACATAGAACTCTTAATTCACATATTAATCTTTATTAACATATAGTTTGCATCATCTCAAGTTAAAGCGCGGTGGTCGTCGCGCAGCGCGTGTTCAAATTTCATGTAAATAAACAATGTATTTTACACGCGTTGTATAAGTCGCTATGAGTCTCATATCGATCAGGACGCGGCGCGACGACTGCTGCCCTTTAAACTATATTCGTAACCACTAGATTAGCCGTTCTATAACACCAGAATAAACAAATGGGGCTATGTTTTCTGTCCTGTTTATTTGCATATCGATCGTGGAATTACCGAATACATTTTCAGAGATGCAACAAAGTGAACTACATTACATATGTAATACAGATGATTATTACACATCTGTCACCGTAACGCCATAAGTTACAGCGTGTCGTAATTTTGTCGTATTGCACTAGGTATTTTCATTCTACCATATTAGGAAACGCGAATTTCAAATATGGAACGATTACGCGCGTAAGCGTCCTCTAATAATTAAAAAACCTTTCAATATTAAGGTTATTACGAGGATGCGCGTAATAATCTCATAGTGTATTGAACGTTAGATAAAACTGTAGTCGTTTAATAACTATACTGTTTTTTGTAAGTGATGTTTTAATATTACATTGGGCTGATATGTTCTATAACTTACAATGCATACATTATCAGAAAAATGCAAAATAGGGTAATACAACTTGCAAAGTGTTTGCTCAAAAGACTACGTTATTTTAGTTGTTGTGAATAACTGAAGTTTGTTTCCGCTGGGCGAGTCGTTACAGATCGTACATTGATCCTACACCACTGAAATTATATTTATTCTGTAGGGTATTAAGCTCTTGACCCAGTGATTTTACTAGTTCACTCAATCATAAATCGGAGCCCATTAAATTGTTAAAACCTACTTTATGGGATAAGTTAGTGATCTTGCCGCAATAGAATATAAATTAATAAACGCTGCTCGGACTTATAAATGTGATATATAAAAGATAATATTTAGTAATCGTTGGTATTTTATAGTTCGTGTGCGTTCTTACGTTCCTATGTTCTACCTGTACGTTTAAACATTTTCTTCTATGCTATCGATAAAGAGCCATTGCTCGAAACGTCTAGCTATTTCTAATAGTTACTTAAGACTACGATTACCAAATATTATCTTACCGCAATAGACGTTATTTGCAAATGGCCGGCGAGATCTCGTTGGAAGCGAAAGCGTCACGAGACTTGTTTTATCGTCATTGCGTCTACTGTTCTCTTGGCCATGGTAACCACGATATTTGAAACAGAAGAAGCTATAGCTAGATGAATTAATAAAGATAAAGATAAAGAAGTTAAAGAAGTATAAAATATGACGTTTTGTAGCTCATTATGTTGTGAGTCAATGTCAGTCATAGTATAGTTTAATTTATCACCCTGGCAACGGCTTCATTCGAGACCAGACTTTTTCATTTTGTCAGATGTTCCATGTTCCAATCCCTCTATCAAATAAAGTCAAGAAAGTTGTACAGTCGTATTCTTCTGTATTCATGCGAATACATACGTTTTTAGTAAATTACAGACAATCTTTAATTGGAAACTAATTAGGGTCATATTATACATATTAAAGACATATTCTACCGTCAGCTTTCAAAGCTGCTCAACATTATCAATTACTTAAGTTTTATTCATATCGCTAAAATTTTCAAAATACATACGTCAATATGACGTGGATTTGAAGTATTAGTTACATGCTAAATAAAGTCATGGAGTGGAAAAATAGAGCTGATTTATCGTCTCCTTCCATTCGTATTCGAAAGTCGTTATAATTGAAGAAATGTGGTAAGCATGATAAATTGTACCCTTCATAAAATAACAATGTTTAATGATTAAACCAACGTTTCGACATTTTTTAAAACATATTAGACGCTTGACATGGGAAGTAAAAAAATGAGCACGGTAGTTAACCGTATTGTTTAATTGCGTTTCCGTGAGCGTTCTCATTAGTCGATCGGTAAAACGTGTTGTCCTGTTGTTATCAGACGCACGGACACCAAAATTGCGCGTTTAAACAGAAGATTCATTATGATTCGTCCACGTTAACAAATCTTGGCCATTAATTAAAAGACATAATAATTGACAGCGCATCGAATTCCTAAATTATTTAATTAAATAAAATTAATATACAAATCACACGTGTATATACGAACTTATAAACACGAAAAATGAGATTCTAAATTACAACAGAAGCAAATCCACTGTAAGAAAACGCATGGACCGTTAGCCTAAAATGCACCGGTCCATAAATAATAGCTTGAAAATAGTGCATGCGGACTTACAGTGACTAGATGGGCATGCGCAATTGGAATCACTGACGTCACAAACAACACACAGTATACATTGCTGTGAACATATAAAGCCTAGTATTTCATGGTCAGAACGACCTACCCAGGTACTATCTTCCATCAACAATGACAATGTACATTTATAAACAATATATAATATAAAGCAACCAACAATATATTGTATATTACAATTTTCAGACGGAGTGTTAAATAATGTGTACATCATCATTTATTTCGCACGTCTTCGTCATTGCAATAATAATTGTCTCAAGTACTATTTTCTTTAAATAAAAGTCAATTAATTTGTTGTGATTGTATGCATTTATATTTATATTTGTATTTAGGTATTTAATTAGTTTCCGATGACAGAATCACCGAAACAAACTCAGTATATCCCCGCAGTGTCTTTTACCTGGGTTGACTCTAATTGGGAAATGTGATCATGATCCAATCAGCTATTTGCGTGGTGAACAATGAACAGCGAAGCCCGTCTTTTGTGTTGTAAAGCATACCACTCTAATTACAGAAAATACATTATGAGATACAGCTTATTAAACTAATTTACGTGTAGGAAACCCAGGCAGCGCAAAACAAACATATAATTAAATTGTGAAAAAGATCCTAATCATCGATCATAAATGTAGGACATGACGTAATATGTCATTAGCATATGCTACGTCGACCAGTAGTTGTTACTGTGTCGTGAGCTTGATTACTATGTATGCTTCATTCTAGGTGGAACTGAAAGAGGCGTGTCCGTGATAGATATGATGCATACGAGGTACTCGGAAATAATTTGGCCGTATACTAATTGGAAGAAATTGTTGATTACATCAGGTGGGTTTGTCTCCACGTACGTAGTTCTTCGATCTAGAAGACATCCTTCAATGTTTGTATAGCATCCATCGGTGTGTTGACGATGCCAGGTAAATCATGCAGAGTACGGATATCGGATTATATTTATACCGTACATGATATGTTCCAAAGTCCGGAGGAATAATGGCATGCACAACTGATGCTCGGCGCAAGTACGGCAACGGTAAGGAATACAGTAACTTGAATTGCAACCAAGATGTGGCCTTATTTCAAGCAATACAACACGGGCGGGTGAACACTGTTGAGGGACTATTGAGAACAAACTTTTCAGCTTTTGATATAGGGTTCGGCGTCTCTGGTAGTCCATCTCGTTCGACTCGGCGCGATAGTGAAGAAGCGGAACTTCTTCTAAATAAGACCAGGACATACATTGCTAGTTTGCAAACTAAGATTCAATCTCCAACCCATTCCGATTACGAAGACAAAAGAATCGCAGCTACTTTCAAAGCTGCGTTGCATTTAGCGGTAGAATTTGGATCCACTGAAGTTGCTAAACTCTTGTTACAAAATGGAGTTGACGCCAATGGGCAGGGGAGAATTGCGATTAAAGGCAGGGATATGTATACGGCTGTCACACAATCATTTGGGAAAAACGACACCACCGAACCGACGAAAACAAACAGTGATATTCACTGCATTTTAGAATTGTTGGCACGTATACACCAACCTCCATTATTCTTGGCTGTTTCGAAAGGAAACGTAGAAATGGTACACCTACTGCTTGATCACGGTGCTGATGTCAATAGCAGGAACTCTCTTGATAAAACTCCACTGCATATCGCAGCCGAGGCAGGTCCAGATGGCCACGCATGCGCAGTTATTTTGATAGAATATGGCGCGTCTATTCACGTGCACGACATAAGCGGCAGAAGTGTTATGGATATTCGTCCCGAGTTTCAGACGATGCAACAATGTAAAATTGAAGACGCTATTCAGTTCTTTGAGGTCATAATGAATTTTACTGCAGAGAAAACGGCTGTTTTTGAACATTTAAATGAGTGGTTCCCTATGGTGGAACCAAAAAAATATTTCCCTAAGATGTTGAGTAATTTTAGTAATTTTTCAAAAACTAACAAAGATAGATCGAGTAAAGAAAGAAGAAGTGCTTGCAGAAACAGGCAACCTGAGTATGGTACCGATAACTCTCGTGGGAAAACCCGCAGAGAAAGTAAAGAGAGGAACTTAAGTTGGTTTGATAAGCGAAAAACATCCCCTGACGCAAATTGTGATATAGATTCCATCAGTCGTACAAGCTCAATGGAGGACCCATCTCCAGGACAACACTGCCGAAGGCAGAGTTCCGATAAAATTCCTGACTCCGATGATGAGCATATACCACACGCAGGTTAGTTTGATACCGCATGGTTGTACGTATCAGTATTATTATGTTATAAATTAGAATTTACATTAATTTGGTTTTATAAACGTCGCCGAAGTGTAAGCTGTTTCACTAAATATGTAATGTAACAAATCAAATGGCCAATCACCTTTATAAACACCTCCCAATACATATTTCACCCTTCCAGGACTTCTGCAATGTGAAAATGACGTATGAATTGTCGTTCATACAGACAAGTCTGTTTGGCTGTGTAGCCGTCTGCCATTTTGAATGCAGCAAATCTGTAAAAAAATATATTGTATTGATAGACGACCACAAATAAAAATATCGTAAATGTTGCCCACTTACGTCATGGAACAGCATCGTCGCAAGAATGCTGTAACGTAATACATAATCAGAAACACGCTTCTTCCGAAGGAGGGGGCGTGGCATACGAAACAAACCCGTGACCATTTAGTAAGAATGTAAAATTAACTAACCATCAATGCGTTTTTTTTTTGTTATGTTTTTTGTGTTCGAAACGAAAAAAAAACGCGATAGTCAAAAATAATACTAGTAAATGGGAAAGCTGTATAACAGATTTCATTAAAGCGTGAGCGTCTCTATAACTCTTTTATGCTTGATGGTATATGCAGTTAGTGATAGATGATTTACATCATACTGTCAATGCATACAATTGTTTCTATTTTTAAAATTCACAGAACAAAGTTTAATACGATTACAGCGCCTTGCCACCAATCCAGAATGTGTGTTTCGGATACTATCTGACCTACTGCACTGTATTCCAGGCATGATTGTATTGTCTAATACTATCATAGGCTCCGACATTACTAGGCACGTCAGTAAAGTTCTTAATACGCTATTACAGGTACGTATAATGTCATGTAATTAACATACACATACAAAATAATGTGAGCTGTGTTTTGCCATTTTTCACAGTACATGATAAAAACAACAAAACAAAGTAGAGATGTCACCAATCTGATTAAAATCTGGGATGTAGTGTACGGGCTTTAATTATTTTAGCTATGAAGTTATTTTAAATTTATTTTTCATTACTTTTGTTATTAATGCCCCTTTTATTTTATTATTTTACTTTGATTTGTTTTTAAATTCCGCCCTACCTACATCTGATCCGACGCCTATGTAAGTCCCGTTCAAATCTCGCGTAAGTAACAGCCAATCACAGAC